AGTGCGAATTTCAACTTTCTATCTCCAATAGGCTCCGAGCGGCAGCCTGTCAAAGTTTTGGCCTTCACCCCTACCACTGCCATTGGACTGCATTAGGCTGGTTTCAGACCCCACCCCTCCACTAAAATGGCCATAACTCGGCCAATTTTGACCCTAGAGGTATAATTTTTGTTGCAAACGACAGTTTAACATGTCCCCCATCTATTTTGTGCAGAAACCGAAATTCGATTTTTTGTCAAACTTTCGAGAAAATCGACATTTGAAGTTTCACCCAAATTTTCAAGAAGAAAATCGCATATTTTTTGGTTTGGAGAAAAAGTTTGAGTCCAAAAGTGCTGTAACTGGCAGAGTTTTCAAGATAGGAAGCTGAAATTTGGAACACAACAACTTCAGATGGGTCTCCAATAGGCTCCGAGCGGCAGCCTGTCAAAGTTTTGGCCTTCACCCCTACTACTGCCATTGGACTTCATTAGGCTGGTTTCAGACCCCACCCCTCCACTAAAATGGCCATAACTCGGCCAATTTTGACCCGAGAGGTATAATTTTTGTTGCAAACTAAACTTTAACATGTCCCCTATCCATTTCAGTCGAAAACAGAAATTCGTATTTTGGAAAAAGTTTCGGGAAATTCGACTTTGAAGTTTCACCCGAATTTTCAAGAGGAAAATCGCATATTTTTTGGTTTGGAGAAAAAGTTTGAGACCAAAAGTGCTGTAACTGGCAGAGTTTTCAGGATAGGAAGCTGAAATTTGGAACACAACAACTTCAGATGGGTGTGTACCTTCAGTGCGAATTTCAACTTTCTATCTCCAATAGGCTCTAAGCGACAGCCTGTCAAAATTTTGGCCTTCACCCCTACCACTGCCATTGGACTGCATTAGGCTGGTTTCAGACCCCACCCCTCCACTAAAATGGCCATAACTCGGCCAATTTTGACCCGAGAGGTATAATTTTTGTTGCAAACGACAGTTTAACATGTCCCCCACCTATTTTGTGCAGAAACCGAAATTCGATTTTTTATCAAACTTTCGAGAAAATCGACATTTGAAGTTTCACCCAAATTTTCAAGAAGAAAATCGCATATTTTTTGGTTTGGAGAAAAAGTTTGAGACCAAAAGTGCTGTAACTGGCAGAGTTTTCAAGATAGGAAGCTGACATTTGGAACACAACAACTTCAGATGGGTGTGTACCTTCAGTGCAAATTTCAACTTTCTATCTCCAATAGGCTTTGAGCGGCAGCCTGTCAAAGTTTTGGCCTTCACCCCTACTACTGCCATTGGACTGCATTAGGCTGGTTTCAGACCCCACCCCTCCACTAAAATGGCCATAACTCGGCCAATTTTGACCTGAGAGGTATAATTTTTGTTGCAAACTAAACTTTAACATGTCCCCTATCCATTTCAGTCGAAAACAGAAATTCGTATTTTGGAAAAAGTTTCGGGAAATTCGACTTTGAAATTTCACCCGAATTTTCAAGAGGAAAATCGCATATTTTTTGGTTTGGAGAAAAAGTTTGAGACCAAAAGTGCTGTAACTGGCAGAGTTTTCAAGATAGGAAGCTGAAATTTGGAACACAACAACTTCAGATGGGTGTGTACCTTCAGTGCAAATTTCAACTTTCTATCTCCAATAGGCTCTAAGCGGCAGCCTGTCAAAGTTTTGGCCTTCACCCCTACCACTGCCATTGGACTGCATTAGGCTGGTTTCAGACCCCACCCCTCCACTAAAATGGCCATAACTCGGCCAATTTTGACCCGAGAGGTATAATTTTTGTTGCAAACTAAACTTTAACATGTCCCCTATCCATTTCAGTCGAAAACAGAAATTCGTATTTTGGAAAAAGTTTCGGGAAATTCGACTTTGAAGTTTCACCCGAATTTTCAAGTGGAAAATCGCATATTTTTTGGTTTGGAGAAAAAGTTTGAGACCAAAAGTGCTGTAACTGGCA